TATTTATCTAAATAATTTATACATAAATGAACGAAGAAGATTTTATTCATGGCCGTTCATTCATATTTAATAATGTCTAGAAGAAATGATTGAATATTTTTAACAATTTCGTTTCAAACATTTAGGCATTTATTTTATTTTATTTTATTTTATTTTATTTTATTTTATTTTATTTGTGTTTGTCTATTTTCTTTCTTTTTTTATTTGGTTGATGAGATATCAAGAATTAGTCGATAATTATTTATTTTTAAAGTTTTTTTTATGATTCGTAGTTATTTTTTGATTAATTAATTTTTATTTAATTTTATTGTAGCTTTCTTAATTTGCAACAGTTTTTTTTCGTTTAAACTTGAGGATGAATTATACATAAAGTTGTGGCCTGAATTTTCTTTTCTGAGGATGGTCTTTTTTTTATTTAAAGAATAACAAGAATAAAAAATCATTACGTTTAAATGTCAATCATAAAATATTTTCATAATAGGGGAAAAGGAAAGAAGAAAAAACGGGATAGATTTGTAAATAGAAATTACATTTTGAAAGATTTATATGAGAAAGGTTAAAGAATGGAAATAGCATATTTCTCGAGAAAGAAAATGTAATATAAAAGGTGTATCGTTTTTGTTACAAGATTGTAAAAGAAAATCTCGGAATTCTTGAGAAGAGAGAATTTTCTTCGAATTTCTATCAATTGGTAGTAGTAGTAGTAGTAGTAGTAGCAGTAGTAGTATAATTATATTTACGAACGAATCACGCTTAGAAGGAATAACGTTTAATTAATTATTTACAAAATGTAATTTCATTTAACCTCGTAGAAAAGGAATTATTAATTGGAAACGAGAGTTGGAGTTATTCGTAGTTAAGAGTAAATATAATATGATATATATATTATTTTGCGAATAAATCTTCAATGACTTTTTGAAGCAAAGAGATTCGTAGAACACGTTAGCTCTCTTACATTAATAATAATAATAATAATAATAATAATACATTCGCGTTTCGATATTTTATTGAGAATCAAAGTAAAGTTTATTTTATAGATTGTTGTAAAAAAAGAAAAAAATAATTTACCTTTAATTTTATATCGTGTAATAATTGCGAGTACACTGTAATGATGTTTACGTATTAACATATCACAGTAATACACATAGAATTAAATCGTAGTATGTTTTGATATAAAGTAGAATTGTGAAAAGGTTTAGAAATGATTTTATAACAACATTTTGAAACGGTTAGTCCATCCCCTTATAGAATATTTGTCGTAATTAGGCAAGAAATTCCTTTTGACGTTTATTATACCAAATCTTTCTCTCATGTTGGACTTAAAATTCATGAACAGAATTCGTACGAGAGCAATTAGAAATGTTAATAGTTGCATAAGCTCGATAATGAGTTTGATTAACATGAAAAAGGGTTTAACGATCTTGTTTTAAAAAAAGGCTTGTATGATCATTATTATTATTATTATTATTATTATTATTATTATTATTATTATTATTATTTTATATTACAACGAACAATTATACTTAACCATAACTTGCGTTAATATTCTTTTTGTTATTTCTTTGTTTTGATGGGAGATTATTTTATTTTTCTTCTTTTTCTTTCTTTTTTTAATAGAAGGGTATCGTGAGAATATTATAACGAGCATTAAATCGATTAAAGTGCCTAGACGTCCAGTATTATGTAGGAACGAAGACCGATCGAGTCACGTATCACTCAATTATCGTTGTGTCTCACACGAATGAACGATGAATGAACGAAGGAGAATGTATAAAAAAAATCTTAAGATTACGTCTAACGTAAGTTTGAAAATTACAAGCTAACGATACGTGCTGCCACTACTGCTGCTATGTTTCATTTTGATTTATGCCAAGTAACTTTTTAAATTATACACCCTTGCGAGAGATTATAATAATAATAATAATAATAATAATGGTTTTTTTTTTCTAAGTTTTATGGTACTTTTTATTAGTAGTTTTATTCTTTAAACTGCAATAGGAACAAAAAATTTTCACATTTAGTTGGTTTTCTATAATCATAGAATATAATTTTTATGTAATATTCATTTAAATAATAATGAAAAATGATTTAAATATTATTTATTAAGTTAGTTGATTTTAATATTGGAAATAGGTGATATTATTTTTTGATTTATGTCAAGTAATATTTGAAATTCTAAACTTTTGCGAAATTATATATAATTATATATAATAACAATTATACATAACAATTATATATAATTACTATATATAATATTTATTATAATATTATATATTATAATTATTATTTATAATTATTAAATATAATAAGAATATTTTATAAGTTTTATTATATTTCTTATATTATTGCACCTTGAAAAAAAAAATATTATTTATTTATATTTTTAATATTATAAATTTAAATGAATTGTAATTTTTTTAAAAATATCATTTATATTTTATATTTATACTTTTTAATATTGTTCCTCTTAATTATAGAATATAATTAAAAAATTAAAATTTAAGGATATTATCATTGATAGTTAGATATATATATAAAATAAAATAAATATAAAAGTGGAGAATAATTTAAAACCAAATGTTTACCAACCGCAAGAATTTTCTTCGTACACAAAAGCATTGTGGTTGGTGGTTAGCGTTTCCTTATCCTTCTTGTAAAACTTTAAAAGGTCTTCTCGCTTTTAATTTGATTGCATGCTTTTACCATAATTAAGTACAATGTATCTACACGTAAGTAACGAAGTAGATATTCTCTATTCTACGCTCGATAAACTTTTTATTCCGCGCGATTTACCATACCCTACTCACAGTCCTATCTCTTACACTCTCTCACTCTCTCTCTCTCTCTCTCTCTCTTTCTTTTTCTCTTTCTCTCTTAATCTCATTCTCCTGTTTCTTCTATTTTTACTTTATTTTTCTTTTACTCGTCTTTCTTCGCTGTTATATTCAACTATGTGGTTTCATATCTTTCATATCACGTATTTACAATGTTCGTGACACAATACGAGATTTATTGCATCCATGGTGAACATAATTTTTCACATATATAATCCATTAATAGTATATATATATGTTTTATTTTTTAAAGAATAAAACAATAAAAGGTACTTTAATATCGTTAAGAGTTTAGATAAATACGAGAGACACAAAGTAAATCTTGTAAGAATATCACTAAAGTATAACTTTACTTCCTCTACCCCTCTACCCCCATCATCATAACGTTTGTCGTCATATTTATCCTTCCCATAGAAGAACTCATATATTCCATTCTCTTAAAGTTTGCTAAGAACAAATTTTAACTATAGTTCTTCTAACCTAAACCACTAAGTTTCTTTGTTTATCCTAACAAAGTGATATATCCTAGAGTTTTAAATAATATA